TGTTTGTTTCTCTCTTTTTGTCTCGAGAGGGAGACAAGGCAAAAGGTAAAGAAACTTGTAATTTATACCTCTACAAGAAGGAAAGAAAAAAGTGGTCTAGTGGTAACACAAACGGTTGGTTTCCTTCTTCTGTGTCATGGGTTCAAATCTCTTTTAAAAGGTTATTCTTTAAATCATAATATCTAAAAGCTGATCCGAGTACCGAATAAGCCAAAGGTTCGGAACTCTCGTGGTTTATAAAAAGATATATATATATTGGAAATGTTTTTTCATAGAACTCAGCAAAAATTGAAGAAAAAAGGAAAGAGAAACAAAAGAAACAGGAAGGTCAAACAAAGTTGTGGTTTGATCTACGGAAGAGACGAGAAGCTTGTGAAGTTGTAAAGCTGATTTTTAAAAAAATAATAGAAGCCCCCGAAGAAAATCGAAAATATTGAGTTATGAAAAAAGTAGGGATACATAGAGAGAGAAGGAAATGGTGTCTGTTTTGTTTTGCACGTGAGATTATAGACCGGTCCACAAAACCAAAGAAAAGATTCTGTGTGTTTTTGCAGGCTTTGGGGTTTCGTCTAGTTACACTCATGTTCGAGGAGAGAGAAATTTAACGAGTTGAAGTCTCAACTTTATACGTTGCTATGAATTAATGTTTTTTTGCCGTATATCATGTGTGAATCGATATAATCAAATATATGAAAACTATATGATTAGTCCCAATTTTTTAAGATGTTTGTGATGATGATAATTTGGTTTATCAACTTTTTAGGTGTTCCAATAAATTTGTGCCTCTATTGTGCGTGTGTAATGCGTATAGAAAGAGCTTGACGTCAAAGTTTTTTTGTTTCTTTGTATCGACCGACCTCAAAAGTTGTGTAAATTCGAAATCTAAAGGCTTATTTATACGAGCATATTTTTTTCCCCGAACCATGCGGAGACAATGACCGCTGATTTATTCTTTTTATAAAATCATGTTTATCACATAACCCTACCCGTAATGGAATAACCGTAAAAAACATTAAAACCATGCATGGGTCCGAAAGCTTATTGCCTTTATATAGACACAACTCTTGGATCTAATGATTTGTGGAGTGAAAATACATTCTATAAATCAATAAATATGTATATTAAATTGTATAATCTATCGACTACTTTTTCTATAATAAATTTGGGCTGTATAAGAGAATATAATCTTTAACAACTTAGAATTAGATATAGTTTTGTAGAAAAACCATCCAATAATTTTGATTCATCTTTTTAGCAAAAAAAAATGATAACCTTTACATAAGAGATAATTTTCAAGAAAATCATCTATTATATCTTCTTAATATATATATGATATAAAATAAACAAATTGTATTTCAAACGGAATGACATTTAATATTAATGAATCGGCTAAGCAACCTACTTGTATATATCATATTAATTGATGTTTTAGAAAAAAAAATTGTATCAAATTTGTCGATGTTTTTATTTTCCTAGGTAAAAATTTAATATTTTTTAGCTTTTGTGGTTATTTAAATTATGCAGTATTTTATGTGATTGGATCAATTAATATTATTTAAAAACTAAATGATTGTTTAATATAGAAAATACACAAAACTTATATTACTCCTTTTATATCATATTAATTGATTTTCCAGGGAGTTTTTTTGTTTTAAATTTGTTGATTTTTTCAGTTTTCAATACAAATTAAATACATTTTTATTTGATATGACTATTTGTATTTGTACAGTTTGATTTACTATTGGTTGAATTGAATTTAATTAGATGATAGATAATATTTCAATTTAATAAAAATAAAAAATTTAATGTTTTCTTAATTTGTATGTAAAATTCTTAAACATGAAGTCGAAACTCCTACCGTAAGGCCGCATAAGCCTTTGGATAAGAATGCTTTTACCCGTTGTGGCCGCCTCGTAATTACTCTTAATTAGTTTTTAGATTTTTCAGTTTTACAGTACATTACAATATGTTTAAAAAACGAATTATGAACTTTTACGCGAGTTTTCAAGTGGATGAGATCAAACCTATAGTTTACAACTCTTCTTTATCTTCATAATTATACTCACGCGACAATCTTATTTGTCTTATGCTCTAAAAATGATATTGAGCAAAACTTAAACGTCCAACAGTGATGAGAGTTAACATGGCATTTGCTAATTTCCAATTACACGATTATAATTCATCGTAAAAAAGCACGGATAATGATAAGAATAACATTTCGGTGTGTGGGGTAATTGCTTTAATAAATGTAATAATGTCACGTTTAAACAAAGTATTGTTTGATGTTGACATGTGTAAGAACTAAGAAGATTTATAGCCCAACTTAATTTGTATAAATTTTCAGGAAAAAAAAAACTTAATTTGTATATTAAGGTGGTATTTTTTATTAGTCTGATTTAAGTACTGTATTCATTAATAACTATTGAACTTAAAACCGGAAGAGAAGATGTGAGAAATGGATGGCTAACTGGCTATGATGCGAGCTAGGTTACTATGTAACAAAATTTGTTAGTCACTTGAACCAATATATAGAGGG